CCTCTTCAAAGTGACATTTGAGGACCCAAATGAGCTAACTTTGAATGTGGTTACCAGCAGAGGAAAGGGGTGTGTGTGGCTTGAGAGACATAGGTGGTAGAATCAACAGGACTTAGAGGTAATCAGTAGGATACCAGGAATGAGAGAGAAAGAAGAGTCAAAAAGAAGAGATCTGGGGGGCTTCCCTGGTGGCGCAGTGGTTAAGAATCCGCCTGCCAATGCAGGGGACACGGGTTCTAGTCCTGGTCCGGGAAGATCCCACATGCCTCAGAGCAGCTAAGCCCGTGCACCACAACTACTGAGCCTGCACTCTAGAGCCCGCAAGCCACAACCACTGAGCTCACAAGCCACAACTACTGAAGCCCGCGCGCCTAGAGCCCGTGTCCTGCAACGAGAGAAGCCACCGCGACGAGAAGCCTGCGCACCGCAACGAAGAGTAGTTCCCACTCACTGCAACTAGAGAAAGCCCGCGCATAGCAACGAAGACCCAACGTAGCCAAAAATAAATGAATAAATAAGAAGGGATTTTTGTTAAGGGTGACACAGGGCCACTATTGACCTCTGCACAGGTGGTGCACCACACGATCTGCCCAAATGCACATGGCAACCCTGGGTGTCTGAGGATGGTGATGCTGTTCGGTAAGACCAAAAGACAGTTCAGCCCTTACTTTTCTTCCGATGGTTTTGTGTGGCAGCCTGTCTCTCCAGTTAGGTTGTAAGCTTCTTGAGATGATGCTCGGATCATCCCTTAATACCTCCACGATGGCCCAGCCAAGTCCTCAGCACATTTTAGGTGCTCTCCAGAGCCTTGGCCCACCCATATAAGCGTTGGCCTTGGGGCCTCAGCTCTACTCATTCTGGAGCTCCCAACACTGCCTCCATGGCTGCCTTTCCTATTGGATGCCAGGAGGCTGGCTACTTCAGAGTAGGAAAGCCAGGGGTTCACTGTGCATGGCCGGACGTGGCCCCCTGGAGGGTTTGGGTTGTGTGCTGAGCAGCAGCCCGTGGCCCTGTGGACCCTTAGGGCCCATCCTGGTGTGTTTATGGGTGTTTCACACTTTCTCCTTTTAATTTCCCTCCTCATTCTTCTATTTCTGGTTGTCCAGGGTCCTTGGTCACCTATAGGCATCGCCTGGTGACACAGTGAACTGCCCGGAGAGGGCATCTCTTATGCAGGCCGTGGGGCAGCAACTGAGTACTGTTGGCCTCAACCCCCTTCCTCTGCCTCTTTCTCTTAGAGCTCAGCGTGCCTCCTGCTGTGCCCTACCTGGACAAGCCCCCGGGTCCGCTCTGCTTCTACCGTGACTGGGTCTGCCCCAACAGGCCCTGCATCATCCGAAATGCCCTGCAGCACTGGCCAGCCCTCCAGAAGTGGTCCTTCCCCTACCTCAGGTGGGGGCTGCCGTGGACGCAGAGTGTGGGCGGTGCTTTGGGGCACCTGGGCTTGGACTGAACGTCCATTCCTCTAGAGCCACAGCGGGCTCCGCGGAGGTGAGTGTGGCGGTGACCCCAGATGGTTACGCGGATGCCGTGCGAGGGGACCGCTTTGTGATGCCTGCCGAGCGCCGCCTGCCCCTGAGCTGTGTGCTGGACGTGCTGGAGGGCCGAGCACAACACCCCGGGATCCTCTACGTGCAGAAGCAGTGCTCCAACCTGCTCACCGAGCTGCCCCAGCTGTTGCCTGATCTGGAGCCCCACGTGCCCTGGGCCTCTGAGGCGCTGGGTGAGTGGAGGTGGGGCCCGGGCAGGGAAGAAGTGGGAAGGTGGGAGCCAGCCCCGCTTGCCGCTTCTCTCCCCTTGCTGATGACGGCCCACACTCCTGGCCCCACGGGGTCAGCTCCCTCGGCCTTGACTTCATTTTGATGAACTACTGAAGATGGCTGCCCTTCCTTCTGCTCCAGGGGACAGAGGCCCCTCGCCATGTTCACCCACCTCTGCCCCTTCTCCCTGCCATTTCCCTGGGGCCCCTCTGCTCCCCGCCCAGGTCCTGGCCCAGCATCACTGTGTGGTGGTAGTTCCCAGCCTGGCCTCTCCTAACTCGCCCTCTTTCCTCTGACCCACAGGAAAGATGCCTGATGCTGTGAACTTCTGGCTGGGGGAGGCAGCTGCAGTGACATCATGTAGGTGTCGGGAATACAAAGGTGGGGAGGAGGTTGTGGGGAGGGAAGGCGAGGCGGAGAGTGGAAGGCTGACCTGCAGGGAAGTCGGACTGGTTGATCTCTAAGATTTCTCCTGGGATTCTGGGGCTCAGGCATAACAGAGGGCCTTCCCCAGCAGCTCAGGTGGGCGAAGGTGCCCGTGGCATTGGACGTGGGGGACACTGTTTCTTGTAGTTCCCTAGAAAGCACTGAAGGCCAGCTATGTCAGGGGTAGACTCAGAAGAACCCTGTTTGTGTGAATTCCCCTCCTGGCAAGTGTCAGGTCCCTGGCAGGCAGAGATCTGAGATGCCCGAATGCCTGCCAGACTCCTCTCCTTGGCATCCCCCTGAGCCTCCTCTGACTTTGCGTGCTCTTCTGTCACACCGTAAGCTGTCTTGGGGTGCAGGGCCCCAAGTGCGAGTGTCTGCCCCCTCCTAACCCTGCCCGCTGGGCCCTCTGTGTCGGCAGTGCATAAGGACCACTATGAGAACCTCTACTGTGTGGTCTCGGGAGAGAAACACTTCCTGCTGCATCCACCCAGCGACCGGCCCTTCATCCCCTATGGTAGGGGATGCAGCCTGGAGGGGCTGGGGAGCAGGTGGCCCAAAGTAGAGGGAGGGCAGTGGGTAGCCCTGGGCGGGCTGGACCCAGGCCTGAGGTGTGGACACAGCATCTCCACTGCACTAGGACTCCTGGCCCTCTTGCCCCTGCACCCAGGGAACAAGTGGGAGTGGTGGGCAAGCTCCAGGCCCTTTGAGGGTGCCCACAACTTTCTCCCTCTGGCTTCAGAGCTGTACACGCCGGCAACCTACCAGCTAACCGAAGAGGGCTCATTCAAGATGGTGGATGAAGAGGCCATGGAGAAGGTGTCTGCCTTGTTCCTGGGCCCTGGGAGGTGGGAGGCAAGGAACCTGGGCTCTGAGGAACAGGCACAAAAGAGATGGGGAGGTGGTGCTTTGCTCTGAAGAATCCCTACGTCTGGGCCTCCCAGTGCCGAGCAGGGCAGGGCCCATGGTGTTTATCTCCAGGGACAGAGCTGGAGGGCCTGGGGGCTTTGAGCCTACTCCCTGGAATCTACTGTGTTCCCAGGTGCCTTGGATCCCACTGGACCCCTTGGCCCCAGATCTGGCCAAGTACCCCAGTTACAGTCAGGCCCAGGCCCTTCACTGCACCGTGCAGACTGGCGAGATGCTCTATCTGCCCGCCCTGTGGTTCCACCACGTCCAGCAGTCCCATGGCTGCATGGCCGGTGAGGGGCTGCCCAGCTCACCGGGGGTGTGTATGGGGAAGTTTAGGTTAGAAGGGGGACCCTCGTGCTCCGGTCTCCATTCTCTCCACAGTGAATTTCTGGTACGACATGGAGTATGACCTCAAGTACAGTTACTTCCAGCTGCTTGACTCCCTCACTAAGGCATCAGGCCTCAACTGACCGAGCCCTGCTGAACATCGCCAAGGACGACTTACGGAAAAGGCGTGCCGCTCCTGAGCCAGTCACCTCGAGAGGCAACCTGGAGTCAGAGGTGCTGGCTGCTGGCCCAGCTGGGATTAGGGTCAGCTTCAGAGGATCGGGAGGACCAGGAGGCACCAGGCAGGTCTGGGTGTGGGCTCCCAGGAAGCTGGCGCACAGGTGAGGCAGCAGCCTGTTCTGGAAGAGAAGTGGGGTTCAGGTGCGGCACCGCCTCTCACCAGCGCCGTGACCTTGGGCGAGTTACTGCCTCACAGCCTCAGTGTGCTGTCTGTAAAACAGAGATAACAATGGTTCCTACCTCATGGCGTGTTGGGGGGTGGTATCTGTAAGGATGGCACCGGCCTGGCGCGGAGGAAGCGTTCAATAAAAGGCGGCTGTGATTCACGTATGTGCTAAGGCTCCCTCGCGATTGCCTTCCGTGGTCTGGTGAGGGCTGGAAGGTTCAGGTAGACATTTCAGGGTGACCCTGCTTGGGGGTGAGGACTGGGTCCAGGCCGGGGCCTGAGGAGATCTCTGCAGCCGAGACCTCTCTGTCCCCGGCCACCGTCACAGCCTCTCTGGGGCAAGCAGGCCGACCTCAGCTTTGTCACTCTGTGGCACGGAGCTCGTTGACGCAGGGCTTGTGAAGCTCTCGCTAGCTTCGCTCTGGCCTTGTTTGCTATCCTCCTTCAGCTCCACGGCAGCTGGTGGGGTCTTGTTCCCTAAGGGTCGCCCTTGTTTCCCTCACAGCAGGCACAGATAGGAAGGGACAGAAACCCCTGTCCCTCATGGGTCTCTACACTCACTGTCCCCACCCCGCCCCCTTGCCTCAACCTGGCCCTGGGGACGGAAGAGCCCCCTACCCCGGCGGCCACCCAGCACCCAGCTCCAAGGTGGAGGCAGCCCGGCACGTGGTTTTGAAGGGCTGTTTCACAGAACAAGCCACAGCCCTGCCGGCTCATGCTGGGGCCCGGGGTGCTCCCCTCAGGTTGGCCAAGCACTTCAGTGAAGACTGGGCGGTTCTGTCACGTTGGCACCAGGAGGCTGTGGGATGCGGCTCGCGGGTTTGCTGCCGCTCTGGGGCCCGCTCCCTGCCTTCCAGACCTCAGCAGCCCCTTCAGCTGCGACCCCAGCCAGACCCCCGCGGCCTCTTGCTCAGCTGCTGACAGCAAGCTCTCCTGGGGGCCCCTCCTCGAGGTCCAGGCAGGGAGAGCAGGGCTGTGGGGCCCAGCGGGCGGTGGCTGGAGAGGATGGGTCTCTGGGGGTGCTGAGCCCCCATCACGAGGATGTCAGTGGCTCTGTGTGGGCTTAAGGTGTCTCGTCTCCTGGACGGGCGGCTGGTCCGGGACGGGGGTTGGGGCTCAGGTGGAGCTGAAGCAGTGGGCAGGAACCAGGGAGGAGCTTGGGGCCTGCTGGGACATCCCTGGCTCTGGGTGAGAAAGCTGACAGTCCTCAGTCCTGCAGGTGCTGCCCGTCATTCCTTCCTCCCGAGGACTCTCTGCCTCATGGCTCTGGTAAGACCTGCTAGGGCACTGGTCCCTGCGGGGCCTGGTTAATGCTGTTTCTTGAGGGAGCTATGGGCTTCTCCAGGTGTTTGCTGGCCCTGGACAGGGCCAGGGAGCAGAAGCCAGGGAAGAGACAGGGTCTTGGGAAGGAGGATCATTCTGTGTTTTTCCTGCGCTAGAAATGGGCTCTAGGCAGAGCTCCCTGGCACCATGGATTTGGGCCCTGAGAACTCAGGCTCCCAGCTGCCGTCCTGGGGCCCCAGAGGAAATGGCCGCTCCTGTGTTCTTTCTGACTCAGTTGCTTAGGGTGTGGGGAGCCCCAGGGCTGACGGTGACGGATGACCTTTTCCAGCTTTGCCCCTGGACTCCATTCCATCTGAAGCAGGGCTGATGGCCAAAAGGAAGTATCGATTAGCACAGGGTCTACATCCCCATACCCAAGGCCGTGGGTTTGGATGGGGCCACCTGGGGATCGTCTTTATCCTGATCCTGTAGGGCCTGGAAGACTGGACAACCAGTGGGTGGTCTGAGCTGATAATTGCTGTCCCTAGCCTAGTGGAGAGCCCATTTCCAGAATTGTCTTGTGGCCAGGGATGCAGAGTGTGGGAAGCAGCTCAACCAGGGGGACCAAGGACAACCGGGGTCCTGACATACCTCTTCCCTTCCCTCTGTAGCCTTATATCGACACCCCCTTTGCTGCCCTGGGGTCCCCCCCGCCACCCAAGACCAGCCTCAAGGCTGCTTAGTAAAGGGGAGCCAGGGTTGTGGGGTGGAAGGAGTAAAAATATACTGTACCAGGAACTGGAAGCAGGTAGGTGTGGGAGTTGAGAGCACAAGTCGAGCTAGCCTGCTCCAATCCTGGCCCTGGGTCTCGGGCAAGCAACTACTTAGCCTTTCTGTGCCTCTGTTTCCTTGTGGGATTGGTCATAATAAGTAGTCCTCGTGCATAGGGTGGTTGTATGATTAAATTGAGTTAATCTACAATGAGGCCTTTGGACCAGAACCGGTACAGCATGTTGTGTAAGTGTAGGTAGGCGTCATCAGGGGATACCACAGCCGCCTTTTGGCTCAGGACTCTGGTGGGTGGAGGACAGGCCTGTGGCTGGGCAGGGCTGGTCCTTTTGGTTCAGGACTAGGCCTCAGGGTGTCACCCCAGCCTCCCCTTTGGGCCCATCAGCCTGTAGTAAGCCTGTTTCTCTCTCTCCTCTGTAGGCAAAGGTGCCTGGGACCTGCTTGCTCAGCATTCATGTCCTGCAGGCCCGTGGCCTGCCCTCCAAGGACCTAGGTGAGTGCTGGGCCCAGAGAGGGCAGTGGTTCTGCAGCTGGCTTCAGAGTGGGGGGCAGGACAGTGGGAAGAGATGCGAGTAGGGCTGGGCGTGTGGCGGGTCCCAGAGAGGGTGCTGAGAGGAGGTAGTGAATGGAACGTCGAGGTCAGGCCTGCACCTCCTGCCTCTTGACCCAACCCCATTCCCTGGGTCTCTAGGTCTCCTGGGGCTGCCTGTGATGGAAGGACGTGGGCTCTGGGCGGCTGGGCTGGGAAGGGCTCTTGGCCAGCACTGGGCGCTCCTTCTTGCTTCCCATAGTGACCCCCTCTGACTGCTACGTGACTCTGTGGCTGCCCTCGGCCTCCAGCCCCCAGCTCCAGACGCGCGTGGTCAAGAACAGCAGAAACCCCATCTGGAATCAGAGCTTTCACTTCCGAATCCACAGCCAGCTCAAGGTGGGTGGGCATCAGCCTGGCCCTGCTCCCTGACCCACCCTTGCCCCACCCCTTCTTCCTGCAGCCCCCTCACTTTGTTCCCCTTTCAGAACATCGTGCAATTCAAAGTCTTTGACCAGGACCTTCTGACCAAGGATGACCCTCTGTTGTCGGTGCTGTTTGACGTGGGGACTTTGCAGGCTGGGGAGCCCTGGCGTGAGAGCTTCTCACTGAGCCCTCAGGCAAGGCTGTGTGCAGGCAGCGGAGGGCTTCAGCGTGGGGAGGGGATGATTTGGAGGGTAGCCAGGTGCATGGCTTTCTTCTCCAGTGAGTGGCCCAGGCTTCCCTGGCATCCCAGAGGCCTCTGTCAGCGAGGAGCTACTGTCCACCAAAGAGCAGTCCTGTCCCTGACCCTCTGTCTTGTCCCCTAAGCCAAGGGCAGCTTTCTTGGAGCAGTCCAAGGAGGGTGGACAGTGGCTCTCCTCACCACTGGGACCGCAGCTGCCCAGGTGTCTGGGTTGGGACCTACACACACACGTACTCCTCACCATTTATAACTTGCTTCTTTCTCTCTACAGGGCAAGGAGCAGCTGGAAGTTGAATTTCGGCTGCAGAATCTGTAAGTCGGGCCATGGGGCAGTTCCCGGGTGGGAGTGATTCCTTCTGGGAAGGACAGAGCCCAGCGCACCCAGAGCTGACACCCTTCCCTGGGAGGCATCAGGGGTGGAGGAGGAAAGCCCAGACCTCCTTGGGGGATGGGAACCTGGATTCTCGGTAAGGGTCACCGGGGGCTCTTTCCAGGACCGACTGTGCTGAGCGCCTCGTCAGTAATGGCATCCTGGTGGTGAGTCTGGAACCCCTCCCTCGTGCCCTGTGCTCACCCTTCTCCCCGGGCCTGAAGCTTGGGCCCACCATGGGGGTCGGGTAGCGCTGTTGCTGGGGTGGGGGTGGGGGCAGGGGCGGCTGGGATTTTAGTTCCAGAGGCTACAACCCCAAGCAAATGTTTGGTGACTCAGGGCCAAGGTAAAAAGGTGCTGAGGAGCAAGAACCAGGGTGTTGGGAGGGTGGCATCTCCAGCAGGGGAGGGGCTCGAGTCTGAGGGGCTCTCTTAATGACCCAGGCCCGGGAGCTCTCCTGCTTGCATGTTCGACTGGAGAAGGCCGGGGGCCAGCAGGGTGAGTCCCCGAACCACTGGGATAGCTGCCGTCTCTCAGCCCTTGTCTTCCCCTTTCTAAGGGGACCCTGGAGGGAACCTTGCACTAGCTGCCCCCAGCTCTCAGCCAGGAGCAGGGGTGAGGGGACGAATCCATGCTGGGGCTTTTCCCTTTAGTCCTCAGAGGGGCTGTGGTGGGACCCCATCTCCCAGCCTAGGTCTAAGCCAGACCTCCATTTAATTCCGGGGGCGGGTGCCCTGTCCCCCAGGCTCCTTAGGCAAGACAGGGGCCTCTCTGGGCTGAGATCCCATTCCCAGCCTCTCTGCTCTGGTTCCTCTTTCCAGGGTCGGAGGGCAGAGTTCAGCTTGTGGTTCCCGGGTCCTGTGAGGGTCCGCAGGAGGCCTCCGTGGGCGCTGGCTCCTTCCGCTTCCATTGGCCGGCCTGCTGGGAGCAGGAGCTGAGTGTTCACCTGCAGGTAGTGGGACGTCCCGGGCACTGAGGCCCGCAGAGCCCTCCACCCTGCTTCCCTCGGCACCTCCTGCCAGCCTGTTCCTCTGCTCACCCCGAGCCCCCTCCCCATCACTCCCTGGCAGCATCAGGCATTCTGGGAAGTGTGGGGTTGACCTCAGCCTCCTGTCCCCCTTCCGGCTACTTCTCTGTCACTCCCGGGGCAATTGGTGAGGCTTTGCTGGAATGGAGAGGTGGAGAATCTTAGGTCCTCTTCATCCTTCCTGCAGGATGCGCCCCAAGAGCAGCTGCAGGTGCCTCTGAGGGCACTGCCCTCTGACCAAGTGGTGAGACTTGTCTTCCCTACATCCCAGGTACTGGTCACCCAGAGGAAGAAAGCCAGATGCACGGGCAGGGTGGGCCCAGGCCCCAGGCCTTGAAGGGCTGGCCTGCTTCTCTAGCGGCTTCTGTCCTTGGGCCAGGCCCTGGACAAATGCCAGGCCAGGCTCTGGGGAGAGGTGTCCTCTGAGCATCCCTGTCTTCAGGCCTCAGGCCTGGCCCCGGTGGAGATGGCTGGGGCCCAAGGGAGCATGGGGCTGTCATGGGACGTGGCTTGGGCTGGGTTGAAGGAAACGGGGTGTCCCATCTTTGTGACTGGAGGCTTCATGGTTTTCAGGAGCCCCTGATGAAGGTGGAGCTGAAAAAAGAAGGGTGAGAGGCCGGCTGAGCACTGGGAAAGGTCACGGGGGACAGCAGTGGGCACTCAGCCTGGAGAAATGAGCAGGCACGGGGCGGCCCCTAGCAGGCTCGGCCACCGTGAATCCTCTCTGAGATGCTCAGGGGTTTGCTTCCAGGGTGGGGCCTGAGGTGCTGGAGCCTTGGCAGATGAAGGCTCTTCCTGTTAACTTTTTACATGCGTTCCTGGTTCAGAGGGGTGTGTGTCTAGCCCAGATCCTGGCACTTGGGAGGCACTTGATAAATGTTTGGCTGGAAAAGCAGGTGGAAGGTGGAACAGTGGTTAGAGGCACAGAGGGGGCAAGGAAACCAAGAGGAGTGCAGTCGCGCCCCTTCGGGGCCTCAGTTAACCCTCAGGAGATGGGAGGAGCCGCCTACACTGGCCCTGCACATGCCTGGGGGGCTAGCTCCCCACCATGAAGAGGCGGGAGCACCATTCCTGTCCCCTTCAGAGTCATTTCTGGGTGGGTGAGGGAGAGAGGCTGAGAGGAGGAAGTGGATCGATGGCGTTGGGTCTCCCCCTGGAGCCTCTTCAGTCACCGCTTTCCTGGTCCTGTGAATCCGCTGTGCTGCTTCCCCAAGGGTGTCCCCGCCAGGGTCTGGGTTCACCTTCTCCCCCTCACGTCCACACGTCACACGTCAATGAGGACACGAGCTGGGGCGAGGGTTGGAGAGAGGAGAGGAGAGAAGAGAAGGGTGGCGGCTGGCTTCCCGGGGCAGGCAGGCCAGCCAGCTTCTCTTTCTCCGATGAGGCCGGGAGCTGCCTCATGGTCCCTTCTTTCCCACCCAGACTGAGAGAGCTGGCGGTGCGGCTGGACTGCGGGCCCTGTGCCGAGGAGCGGGCCTTCTTGAGCAGGAGGAAGCAGGTGGTGGCCAAGGCCCTGAAGCGGGCCCTGCAGCTGGATGGAGACCTGCAGGAGGATGAGGTCTGGGGACTGGGCTGGATTGGGTGGGCGTCCTCGGGTTCAGTGCTGGATGCTGGGACTGGTTGTGCCCTAACCAGACCAGAACTGGTGCCGAGCCAGCCTTGGACCCTGCTCTGCTTCCCTCTCCCTTGCTGTTGTCAGGGGCTTGATCACATCAGATGCAGAGCGGTGCATGAGGCCTGGGGCATCCTCTAGGGATTCCACCTCTCCTAGAAAGAGGGAGAGAGGTGGCCATGTGGGAGACTTTTGAGGTGGCCCTGGGGCTTCAAGAAAGCAATCACCAGACTCCTTAGGGGCTAGAGGTGAGGAGATGAGGCTTGGAACTTATCGATTTCTCTTGGAGTTCTTAAAACCAGACAAGGCTGACTCTTGCAAGGCTACTTCTGACTAGACCTTCCTCAGCAGACCTGACTAGAACTGGTCCCAAGAGCCCTGATCAGATCTTGACTAGCCTTAGCTGTGGGTGAGCTGAGTGGGCACTTGGCTTGCTACCTCTTCTACCTGTGGCTTGGCCTTCCCCTTCCCTAAGGCCCCTCCAAGCCTGGCTGTTCTCTCTTCCAGATCCCAGTGGTAGCTGTTATGGCCACGGGTGGTGGGATCCGGGCCATGACTTCCCTGTATGGGCAGCTGGCTGGCCTGAAGGAGCTGGGCCTCTTGGATTGCATCTCCTGCATCACAGGGGCCTCGGGCTCCACCTGGTGAGCATGAGTGTAGGAGCCCGGGCGTGGCTAGTTGGGTTGTGATAGGAGGGTGTGGTGGTAAGGCTGACTCCACCGGCCTCTCTGACCAAACTGGAAGGGGTGGGAGAATGCACGTGCCAGAGAGAAAGGTGCTCAAGGGGACCCTGGAAGGTGTCTTTTGGGCCATTGTCCTAGCAGAGAGAGCGAGCCCAAGGCATGTGATGGAGGTCCTTGAGTGACAATCCCCCTGGCTTTGGCTTTTCCCAGGGCTTTGGCCAACCTCTATGAGGACCCAGAGTGGTCTCAGAAGGACCTGGCAGGGCCCATCCAGTCACTGAAGACACAGGTGACCAAGAGCAAGCTGGGCGTGCTGGCCCCCAGCCAGCTGTGGCGGTACCGGCAGGAGCTGGCTGAGCGTGCATGCCTGGGCCACCCGACCTGCTTCACCACCCTGTGGGGCCTCATCAACGAGGCGCTGTTGCATGACGAGGTGTGGGGAGGGGGGCGGAGTGGGGCTGGTGAGGGTGGATGGGGGCAGCCAAAGCCAGGGTGAGGTCCAGAGATGGGGAGTGGCCCTGGGCCGCGGCGGCTGGGAAAGTCCCCAGGAAGCCCTGGCTTTAGGCTCGCCCTACCTTCCCTCAGCCTCACGACCACAAACTCTCAGACCAGCGGGAGGCCCTGAGCCGTGGCCAGAACCCTCTGCCCATCTACTGTGCTCTCAATACCAAAGAACGGAACCTGACTACCTTTGAATTTGGGGGTGAGTAGCTCCAGAACCGTGACCTGTGCTCTCACAGTTGTTGGGGTGACAGGTAGCCAGGCCTGTGTGTGAAGGTGGGTGTTAACACCCCCGCCTTTTCTGGGCCAGGTCCCGTGCTTTCCAGAGCCTGTCATCCTATCCGAGTCACTCAGGCTTTGGGATGGGGGCAAGGGCCGTGGGTCCCACGCTCAGGGTGCCAGCAACAAGGCTGAGCCTCCTGAGCACGAGGCTGCCTGACGCGAGGCTCCTGGTGGGTGCCTTGGTGCCCGAGGGGCCTCAGGCCATGGGCCCCATGGTGAGGCTGTGTGGCTCTTCACAGAGTGGTGTGAGTTCTCCCCCTATGAGGTCGGCTTTCCCAAGTACGGCGCCTTCATCCCCTCTGAGCTCTTCGGCTCCGAGTTCTTCATGGGGCGCCTGACAAAGCGGCTTCCTGAGTCCCGCATCTGCTTCCTGGAAGGTGAGCGGGTCTGGGAGGTGGGAGAAGCTAGGGTTGTGGGGAGAAGGGGCCTGGGCGCGGTGGTGGGCTCAACTGTCCCAGCTCCGTGACTGAGACGTGTCCTGGTCCCCGATGGGCTGTGGGGAAGGGTCTGGGTGTGGTGAGGTGGGGGACTCTCTCTCTCTCTCGGATCTCCTCCTCAGGCATCTGGAGCAACCTGTACGCAGCGAGCCTCCAGGACAGCTTGTATTGGTCCTCCGAGCCCAGCCAGTTCTGGGACCACTGGGCACAGGCCCAGGCCAGCCTGGGTAGGCGACCGGGCTCTTCCCCGGGAAGGATGGGAGAGGCAGCCAATGGGGCTGTATGTGGGGAGCGCGGGGTGGCTCTCTCCTCCTTTGTGAGTCCACAGAGGCTGGAATAAAGGGTCCCCGTTTCCCCCGTCCTTGACTGCAGACAAGGAGCAGGTCCCCCTTCTGAATATAGAAGAGCCTCCCACAGTGGCCAGCAGAATAGCTGAGTTCTTCACTGACCTTCTGACATGGCGTCCACTTGCCGAGGCCACCCACAATTTCCTCCGTGGCCTCTCTTTCCACAAGGACTATTTCCAGCATCCTCACTTCTCTGCCTGGAAAGGTATTGCTTTTCTCCCCCGCTCCCAGCTCCCCAAACTCTTCCCATGGCCACCTGAGCCTTGGGTCCCTGGTCCAGACATCTGCACTGTCCAATCCCTTGGCCCCAATTCGTTTGAGTTCAGTTCTCTGCGTGGCTTGGAGCAGGAGCCCCTTTTCCTCTCCTTACGTTGGGGTCAGGGCCCATCTGTGGAGCCTCAGGAGTTGAGGTGCTGCTTTGGCAGGAGAGGGCAGGAGCCGGATGGCGGAGCCTCCTTCTAAAGCAGCAAGGAGCTGGCATTAGGCTGGAGGGGCTGGTGCCTTTAGCACCAGTGACAGCTGCTCTCCACCCGATCCCCGCCCCCACCTTTCCAGCCACCAAACTGGATGGCCTCCCCAACCAGCTGACACCTGCAGAACCCTTCCTTTGCCTGTTGGATGTTGGCTACCTTGTCAACACCAGCTGCCCACCCCTCCTGCGGCCCACACGGGACGTGGACCTCATCCTGTCGCTGGATTACAACCTCCATGGAGCCTTTCAGGTGGGCATCGGGCAGGCTTGGCGGGGGGTGGGGGGCGGGCAATGCCAGGCCTGGCCTCAGCTGGCCTGACATTCCTGACTCTGGAGAGATCCGCTTTGGAGTCTGGTTTCTGGGACAGCTTCCCTTAGGGGCTGTGACAGCGACGCTGTGAATGAAAGGCTGTGGATTCTGTGAACTCTCCCCCAGGGGAACTTACTCTGCTCAGGAAGTTGGCGTGATGGGAAGCTGGCAGTGTTTTAAAATGTATTTTATTTTAAACGTACCTGCACCCTGTTTGGTCCTGACCCCCTGGGACTCCTTGCTTTGAGTTTCTGTGTTGGTCCCGTGAAGGATTTTGTCTCCCAGTTGCAGCACCTGGGAGTTGTTAGCAGCCCGGCTCCGTTGACACCAAAGGGGCTGCCATAGAAGGGCTGCCAGGTTTAGAACATTGACCAAGCCTGGCCTGTTGGGTCCACTAGCGTCTGGCTTGGCATCTGGGCACTCAGTCCTGCGTCTTAGCAGACCTCCACGTTCGGTCAGTCCAGCGTGGAGGACACTGGGAGCCCATGGGCCCATCCCGCTGGTGCCTCTTCTGCCCACCCTGCAGCAGCTGCAGCTCCTGGATCGGTTCTGCCAGGAGCAGGGCATCCCATTCCCGTCCATCTCACCCAGCCCCGAGGAGCAGCGCCAGCCCCGGGAGTGCCACCTCTTCTCAGACCCTGCCCGCCCTGACGCCCCTGCCGTGCTGCACTTCCCGCTGGTCAATGCCTCCTTCCGGGAGTACTCAGCCCCAGGTGAGCCACCATCCTCTGGAGCCCTCCTCTATCCTCTAGGCCTCCACCCAGGTGACCCCAAACCCGCCCTCCATCCCCAGTGAGGTTGCCTCCCGTGGCTGGCCTGCACTCTCTCCACAGGGGTCCGGCGGACGGCCGAGGCGCAGGAGGCCGGGGAGGTGAACCTGTCTTCATCCGACTCCCCCTACCACTACTTGAAGGTGACTTACAGCCGGGAGGACGTGGACAAGCTGCTCCACCTGACGCACTACAACATCTGCAACAACCAGGAGCAGCTGCTGGAGGCCCTGCGTGAGGCTGTGCGGCGGCGCAAGCAGCGCCGGGCCGAGTGATGGGCGGGAGGATGCCACGCCCCAGCCCCACGGCCCCTGACTTTTTCAGGCTCCCTTCTTGGCCGCCTTGCTGCTCCAGTTGAGTTGGGGTGGAGACCGTCATCACCACGTTCAGAGCCTCTGGCAGTTTGGACGGCCCAGTCGTGGTCGCCAGCCCTCTGAGGGGCTCACGAAGGTGCCCAGCACCCCTGCCACGGACACCCTGGGGTAGGTTGAGGGTTTTAAACAGGGGCTGGAACCTCGTCTCCATGATGTGGCTGGAGAAGATTCGGAGGTTCTGTGGCAGCGAGGGTAAGTGGGGCAGTCTGGGCCAGATTTGTGTACGCACACAAAACCCCGTGACCTGAGTGTCCTTTGCCTGCCTTGCTACCTTGAGTAGCTGTACAGAGTGAAACAAATAGAGCATTTTATGTATTACAGAGGCCCGTACAAACGTGAGGCATTATGGAGATTACTGTCATTGCTTCCAAGAAGGGACAGGTCATCCCACCTCTTGGTTACCCAGGGCAAGGACTGGTTTAGGAAACAAAACCTCTCCCCAGGTACCTTACAGAGCTGGCAAGTCAGCTTGGGCTTCCCCTGAAGAGCAGGCTGTGAGCTCATGGCAGTGTCGACTCCACTCCGGCCCACTCTCTCCAAGCAGAGAGGTGGCCACTTTAGCCTGGGGGGGG